CCCCAAAACCCCAAAACCCCTTGTTAAAGAATTGGAAATTTCTAGAATCAAATTATTAATTAATTAAGATTTACAGACTAAGCATATACCATATCATCATTATTAGACTAACTATATATTAACTGTTCTCACTACTTATCTCCCTTCTTCTTCTTTTTGGCTGAACCTTTGTCACTGGTGCTCTGCTTGACTTCCTCTTCAGCATCCTGCTCAGCATTCTGTACAACCTGCTAATCCTGAATCTCAATGACAACTCCATTATAGAATTCCTTGTTTTCCTTGACTACATTGCTTAGTTCTCTAAACATATTTGGCTGTATTTGCAGTTGCATCAGTCTTTCTCCTAGTCTTTCTATTTCACAGTCGTTTTAATGTTCTTTTTCAATGAAGTCTTTCATCTTTTCTTGCTATTCCTAACTTTCAAATGATATCTTAAGTCTCATCTTTGCTCTCTCAATTGGGATGACTTTCTTTAATTCTCCAATGAAGTCTAATGCTTGCTTTTTAGCAGTCTGCTTTGGATTAATCTTGGCATTAACCTCATTCATGGCTTTCATAATGATACTTACAGGGAACTACTTGCCATCTGTAGTATTTACACATTTCTAAGCGATGATGTTAGCTATTTCCTTTTTCAAGTTATCTAGCTAATCATCCCTTTCTAGTTCTGACACTTGTAAGTCTCCTTTATTCAAGATCTCCATGATAATTTCATCATAAGAAAGATCTCCGAAAACCTTGAAGTCTTTTTTATTTGCAATTTCTCCCTTAGAAACATTTGTGTAGATCTTGTCAATCTATAATACTTCACTCAGGTTGCTCTCCTGCTTATTTCTCCAATTAACTGCTTTGTTTTTATAGCAAGCAATTTCAAAGCGTTTGCCACCTTTCTTCAGTCTAATGATGGCAACATTAGTCAGTCTTATTTAATTGACAGGAGTCTTAATCATTGCTAATATTTAATAAAAATAACTAACTATATATTTAAAAATTTCTCTATTTAAACTCAAAGGATCCAATCATCTCGGGGTTTTGGGGTTTTGGGGTTTTGGGG